TTTTAGCGTTAAATTCATTTACATCATAGAAAATTTCCAACATTTCCAAGTGTACACATAAGAGCTGGTAAATCGAAATGCTTATACCATGTATGTCTGCCATTGACATCCGCTGCGAATGACTGATATGCATTGATTGGCCTTGGGGCATGGCTATTACAAGTATCTATCATTTCAATGCTTTGCACCTATCGCTGTGAGCTGCCCTCACTGTATGGGTGGATGAGGATAAGATGCCATTTTGTAATACTCATATGTCTTTATACTGCCATGATTTATGCATTTTAATGAAAAACGAGCTCCACAATTGAACGTTAAGCAATCGAATGAAATCTCCACTTTTTCTACATACATACATACATATGTACCATAAGTCAGTATAAACCACATAGTTGATATACCAACACATAGACCTGCATGTAGATAAAGGGTGTTTTTAAAAGTATATATGCGACAAGCTTAGTTGTCATACGAGCTATCAAAGTTTATCTATCAGTTTTAAACATTGAAATTCAGTATACTTTAACGAGTTAATATGGAAGACTTACACACGAATTACGTTTAAGTTCGGACACCTTTAATTCCAAAACTCGGATCCTATGCGATTAAGGTGTAGAGTATGGCAGCTATGAGTACTAAGCGGGCACTAAAGCAAACAGTTTGTAGCACCGAGAAGGAAACGTCGGATACCCTATAATATACTGTTTATATAACATAAATGATCAGTGTGACCAGCTGAGACGATTTAGCCATGTAAGTCTGTTTGTATATACGCGAACTAGCTATTCAATTTTTAAAATATCGCTCTGAAATTTTGCACAGATTATTAATCAAGACAACGATACAATCTCCTACCAAATTTTTTAGATCGGACCGCTATTGCATAGAGCTAAAGAGAAAATAGTACAAAATTGCATCGAGAGGATTATTTGGAGGTCGTTTTGTTTGAGAATTATTATAAATTTATCGTACCAATAATGCCAAAATAAAGGTCATTTCATTTATTTAAAAAAAAAAAAATTTTCTGGCTCTAAAATACAGCTTCTATTTATGTAGTTGGTGTAGGTACATTGTTCCCTACTCCTCAGTTAAAATCAAAAGTCCTTCAAAGTACATATTAGTTTTAGCCATGAAATGCACATGCCACTTAATAAACAGTTGAGAGATGAATGGAATTTTCAAGCGCATATATATCCTTACACACAAGTGCATGCAACTATTAGATAGCGTGCATGATTCTTCGTACTGTAGTGTCGTACTTGTGAGTATGGATGCCTAGAAACAAAGTTGAACTGACACATATTATAAGCCCAAAGCTCCTGTCGAAAGTCAAAGACCATAAAATAATAAAGATTTTAATTCCATGTGCCTTTTTTGAGGTAGAAAGGATCCTATTATTGTGATCAGTCATATATTGTTGTGTTAAGAAATTCTTTAGATCAGCAAAGGTTAGGTTCAGTAAATTCACATAGCAAGCCTTGGCTTAAGGAATATTCATTCTAATTTATATATACATTTTTTAGGGTCTCCGACGCTTCCTTCTGGGTGTTACAAACTTTTTGACAAACTTAATACACAACTTCGGAGTTAACATCTACGTGGACAGCCAAGCAACAATCAAGGTTTTAACCACTCACGGTATGAGACAGGGGTATCGATAAGCGCTAGTATACTAACGAATGACTACTCCTCATGTACTTCGTAATTGAACTCGATCTGGTATCGTAAAGGACCAAAACTGATCTATGCGTGGCTCATTAGCCCATCAGACTAACCTAACTTAGTATATCCAGTTTAGATGTCAATATTTACACAAATAATAAAAATAATATCCATTTAGCACTCTCGTATTTTGTACTTGTGCATATTTCATGAATCAAATCGAACTCCTTGATCCTTGCATTTCTGCTAGATATACCTATTGTTCAAATGTGTATTATATAATTTATTATGCATTAACAAGTTTTATAATTAAATATAACAGACAACACCTGAGTAGATATTTATTTCTTTTCACCGCTCGCTATTTTAGCTTTTAATGAAGCTGGCATCTCCGGCGGTGGTGGACGCGGTATACGTAGTGCCACTTTAACACCATCATAAATAAACCACTGCAGCGCAGTCAAAGTGCCAATCATTATTATACGCGGCACCAAGCCACCCCACATTCCCATGAATCCCAGCGATTTCGCCACATCCAAGGCCGAAGCACCTTTAGCTTGATTTAATTTTGAGACCACTACATCGGCAGGATGTGAAACTATAGCACAAAAGACACCAGCTATATAGCCCGCAGCAAATGTGACCACTAACTGTTCCCCCTTGGTGCATTCAGCACGCGGCTTTGGCACTACATACTTATAAAGCAGCTCCAGTGTTAGTTCGAAACAAGCAAACTTCATCATTGTATACGGTATCTGTCGCATCCATAGCGGCACAAGTCCCTTGTAAAAAGCTGTAACACCTTCGTCCGCCACCATTTTTGGTATTGCTTCACGCATTGTTTTGGCAAAACCAGGTGTTGTTTGCATTTTTACCTTAACTGCTTCCATAGGTGATAAGGCGATATCTGCGAAAAATTCAGCCGAGGCTGAGGCAATTAAATAGATATACGTGCGATATAGATAAGCATTTTCATCGCCTAACAACTTGGAATAGTATACTTTGAACACTTCATACAATCCAAATTTGAAGGCACCCTGTGCTGAGTAACCGAACAATGTTGGCGCCCAGCCTCTGGCCAAGCCGCGTACACCTTCCTCCTTGACGGTTAGTTTTAGACCGTGTATCAGATTTTTGTATTTGGCCTTATCGACTTGCAAACGACACTTAACCAAATCCAAAGGTGTTAACAGTGTGTGTGTGGAGCCGCACGATATAAGACCACCAATCATGCACAATTGAAAGTACTTGAGACTGCCGAACTCGCAAGACTCCTCACCGGGCGCAACCGCAGCGGCCATCAAGTGACGATACGGTAGAAATGGCGTACGCAAAGGCAGAGCCAGTTGTGTTTGTCCTTTGGCTTCGCATTTTACCGATTTCACCTGCGTACTAAGTAAAATATGTGATGCGGAGTCAAATATCGCTGACAGCATGACGTCTTACTTTTTTTCTTCGTAATTATATTTTAAATATTTCAAAAAGTTGTAAGAGACTTGGCGTTTAAAGAAAATAAACACTGATGAATTAAATTCTTGTAAGCTAGTTTATATTGAATCAATAATTCATTTTGGTAGTGTAAACCTGACAGTGGAGTATTCCATATAAGGTCATTTCCCAAAATTTTAAAATATAATAAAAATAATTTTTGTATGATGGTTAAATGTAGAAATCGCTGGAAAATAATTGCAGTTTCAACCATGTATTTTAGATCTGTTTCAAACATTTTCTAAGCCAAAAAAAATATGTTGATATATACAGATATTGTATTTCTGATATGTTTAAACTGTCCGTTTTGTTGTATGCGCCTTGTTCTTATCACAGAATTGCTCTCTTACCGGGTCTAATAGTGAACGGCTAGGAGATTTGTATGGAACATTTATATCTTACGGAAGATCTGCTAAGAGATGGCCATATATATGAATATACGTAAATATACGACTGTACTTTGTTGAGGGGGTTGACATGTCGATGGACAAAACGGTGACAATGCTGCTTAAGGGCAGATTATCGCCGGTTCGTCCACCGATTGTCCGGGTGAATGGGGTCAGCATCTGGTATGTGACGCAAGTCAAATACCTGGGGCTGACCATAAGTGAAAGGATGTGTTTTACTCCACACTTGGTGAATCTAAAGAAGCGACTGCAGAAGGTCGTAGGTAAAGTGCGCGCATTTTGAGAAGCGATTGGGGCCTTGGTGCTGTTCGCACCATATACCGTGGTCTATTTGTGGCTTGTGCCACTTATGGAGCCGCAATATGGGTGGAATCAGCGATGACGGTCTCTAGTCGCCGAAAACTCCTCTCGGTGCAACGTTGCATGATGCTTGCATGTATTCCTGTATGTCGCACCGTTTCAACGGATGCGATGCAGGTTTTATTAGGTACACCCCCTCTTGACTTGATTATTGTACAGCGATCTGTTGCATTCAGGTTAAGAAGGGCCTTGAGCGTGTCATTGCTGCGGAATGATTGGATTTCCGGTGATGGTGTGGAGAGGGAGGGATTTCTAGGTAACAAGAGGCTTCTGGATGATAGGGTTAGAAGTAGGGTACATCCGGGAGGTTAAGTTTGTTGAGGGTAACCCAGACTTCAGATTTTGTCTGAGTCTGGGTTTTTTGTTACCGGGACATGGGCCCCTGAATACATTTTTGCATCAGAGTCACCTTTCTGATAGGTCGGGGTGTTTGTGTGGGGCGCGATGATCGCGGAGTGCCCGATGTACTCGGACATTAGAGATCTCGGGGGCATGGGTATTATCTTTACTGATGGACGTTTAGATGTTAGCGGTGTGATCTCCACTACACGGAATGTCGAACAGTTAGGGTCGTATGCGCGTGAATTGTTTAGGCGATGGAGGCGTTTAACTGAGAATTAGGGTTAGTTTCTTGGGTGAAAGGGATTCAACCCCTGGTTTCCAGTCCAGAGCAGTATGGAGGCTCAACTGGTAGTAGCTTCGACTACGAGGTCTGACCGGAGACTTAATTCTGGTACCACGGGGAGCAGGGGCCCTTGGAGTTCGCTCCAACCTGGTCATGCGAACTGGCCCTTCGGGAAGTATCGTGGTGGTTGTGGTTGATGCCCAAATGCGGGAAGAGTGTTTTATCACTCAATATGGCGTTGAACAGCAACCAAGGTGTGTAGTGTGTCCATTCCACACTACCGTATCAACGCATTGTATTGATACGCCGTGCTTTTGAGGTAAGGCTGTCGACGGCAGGTACTCACGTAAAACACACCGGACGTTGTACTTTGTTGAGGTTTGAGAGATTTAAAATCGAACCCACGAGTAGATCAATGCAGCATTCAAACTGGTATCCACAAAAATTATATACAAATATAACATTGGTAAATATTTTATTTTTTCTATTAGTTATATTTCAGAGAACTTCGTTGATTTGTTGTGAAAATAAAATTGTACTTTGGATCCATAATAATATGTTTATGTTACTTATCGAACAATTTCTTATTTTTTTGCTAACATAATACCATTATTTGTTATACCGATTATTATTATTTTATTTCATATTATCTTAGAGCCATTAACTGATGCAAGCGACTTCTTTGCTTGCTAGTGAGACAATCGAACAGTCGTCTGGATCTAAACAACTCACGACGGTTATGTAATGGTGGCCAAAGGGATGTATAGCTGAGGTGTCTAAAGTTAATAAAATATTCGATTACAATAGTATGACTTAAATAAATTTAAGAATTCATAGTTATTGAAGTATAACAAGACAAGTTAGTATATTATTAATAACAAGAATATAAAAGAGCTATAAAAGTGTCATACAATTATTTAAGTATATATTAGGTAAGTTTAGACCTCAATAATTATTTACCTTTGTAAACTTACTACCTCATAGGCGGTCGGTTGAGCTCCAAGTAATAATGAAATTTCATGTTGAAATTGTTTTTCGTATTTTCTTATTGTTTCTCTATAGTTCATGAGGCTGTTAAATTTACTGAAATACAAGATAAGAGAGATGTATGTTTGCCATTACATATTGTCAAATTATAGCTAACCTGAAGAACTCCTTTGTAAAGCTAGGATCGCGACTTGGTAAATCTCTGGCATCCGCTTCCTCATAGTTACGTGGTTCGTCCACATTTATATCGTCCATGATTTGTTGAACAACTACGGTTTGTGATTTTACAGGGGCTTCCGAAGTTGTAACTATAGAAGTCAAGAAAATGCTACTAGCTCTTGGAACTACGTCGTCTTCCATTGCTTGATACGATACGCGAGGATTATCATCATCTAAGGCTATACTCAAAACCGTTCTTCTACGGCCCAAAATAGTTGAACGCCGAGTGGACATTTGAATTGATTTTGTTGATTTTAAAAGCGCGTTGAAGTTCAAACAAACAATTTTCAATATAAAAAAAAATCAAAAATAGTAGAATATTATTATAAAAATATTAGTTTTTGGAACGCGGCAAGTGATCTAGACATTTAAAAATGTAAATATAATTTGACTACTTTGACAATTAAATAGCAGAGAATACATGCACCCACGGTACAGTCAGTCATTTAAGTTATGATAACATAAATCAGTGTTTTATAACTTTAAACAAATTAGTTTAATGTTACAGCGTAACATAAGAAAGTTATTGAAAGAGTTTGTTTCAAAGAAGACTAGTAAAAAACGTAAAATTTTCTATACAAAATTAAAAATTTTTTTATTTTCAAATTTGTACAGACATGTTACAATATTTTCTTTATGAAATTATTTTATTATATAAGTAAAAGTGTGAATTATTAAATAAAATAACTATTTTAGACATTGCATAAAACAAATAACTTAAGAATTATATTACAATTTAGGTGTGAAAACATAATTATTGAGTTGAATTTATGTAAGAAAAATGTGTGGATATCTCATAACAGTGCTATCATGAAAATATGATACACCTTCGATATTGATCCAACTGCAATATTATTGGAAGGTATTATAACTAGGTTAATGTTTTAGGAGAAGTGTTTCAAGTAAATAGAGAAGCATATAGCTGGACGGAAGCGCGGGCAATTGACTGTTCTAAATATTTTATTAAATTTTTTAAATATCATTTGGGCGCTGTAAAATTCTTATAATTTTTTTCTTATTTTTAGGTTAACTTTTATCTTCTATGCAAATTTGTATGTTTATTTCCCCCTTGCTACATAACATTTGCAGTGGTCGGTATGAGAGGAACTGCGTCTGTGTAGGCAGCTCGAAATAAAATACACCCACAGAAAACTCTGTTGCTTTAAATTTTGTAAATCTTTTTCATTTTATTTTTAAACAAGTACTTTCGTGCATTCGTGCATTCTGATATATTATATTTTCGCTGAAAATAAATATATTGGAGCTTAAAAGCCTTAATTTTATTACCTTAAAAATTTTAAAAATAATGTAAATCTAAAACATAAAATGAAATTAATAACACCATAAAGTATTCATAATGACAAAAAATTTCGTACAGGGCACCATTCTGTTAGCTGCACGCCCATGCGTGTTGTTGTTTGGTCGCTGTTTCGACAACGACTGAACGATAGTGCGTAAGTGTACGTATGCAGTCGACTTGAACAATTGTTCTATGAAATGCCGAACACTGCATTAAAGTCATTAATTAACGGATGTGTTTTATGTACTATACATCTCGTGGCATTACATGCGTTGGCATTTCAAATTCGACATCTGGAGTGTTAGTTCCAGGCTATAAAATGAGGAATATTCTGATGTTGTCATTTGTTGATCAACCCTGCTGGAAAACACATCAATACGGGAACAATTTGACAGCCATTGTATTTATAGATTTTAGTTTCAGAAGTAGCAAAAAAACTCTCAATCGAAGAGGAAAGAGTCTAAAAACATTTAGAATATAGGATAATAAGTTTAATATCTTGGTTGTATTAGTTTTTAGTTGCCCCATACACAAACAACCCTAACCCACAAACGACCTAAAATCGTACGTACCTGGAACCGATCTTTTAACCTTGCTTTAAGGAAAAGTGAAACCAAAAATTATTTCATAGAACATATATATAAAATAAATAATATTCATGCATTAGATGACCAGATAGTGAGGTAAGTATAGGTTTATAAACCTTTTAAGTGTTTTCTATAAAAACATTTATGAAATTGTTGTTGTGTGTCCCTTTAAAGCACATTATCATAAAACACATCATCGTATGTCGGTTATTGAAAATTGGTAGCAATAATCTGATTTAAACGTCGCCGTTGTCCGGATCGTAGACGGAAATAGTATCGCTGTGTGTGGATAAATTCAGCACGATTGTGCAGTGGTGGCCACAAGGTAGTAATGCACAAATGTCTAATAAAGTAAGTATAAAATTAATATGATTAAAAATTCATAAGCCTCATAAAATGTACCGATTGAAACGTGCAGCTTCGTATGCCGTGTTCAAATTATTCATTAATTGAGCGATTTCACGTTGAAACTGCTCCTCATACTCCCTTTTACTCCTATGATAGCGATCGCGACATTTGAAGTGGCTGTGGTAGATGCAAATTAATTAATGCAAATATTTTTAATTAAATAGTTTTAGTCTGCTCACTAAGGCACTGTAAATTTCGTATAGCTCGGATGCCGACTATCATCGCGCCAGTCTTCTTTCTTCTTGCGGTCCTTGCATATTTCTTCATACAGCAATTCAAGTTCACGTAGTGAGAATGGCACATTGTCGTCATTGCCAGCTGATGGTATTATTGAGCGGTTTATTTGGGAAGATTTGATATCACTCGGCGCAGTTGTTTCCGTCATTTTTAAAAGTTTTGTAATTATTTTTATTATTTATTATATATTTTGTGATTTTATTTTATCTTTTTACAATTATTAATTATTTCAAAAAAATTTTTTCTGCTTATGACATTTTTAGAATTATCAGATATTTTTGAATGACTCAATAGGCTGGAGTGTTGATTTTTTTTTTGTATTTTTATACCCTCTACAGTGTCTTGCAAGTTTGCCGAAATATTTGTAATATCCGTTTTTTTATTATCTAAAATATACGCTATAATACCATATAGCATAATATATATGTATACGAGTATATGTCAAAAGTGACGAGCTAGTTGATTTAGCATTGTCAGTCTGTATATACGCGAACAAGTCACTCTCTTTCTAAATTGTTCAAATCTGACCTTTTCATTTGCTTAACTATCTTAAAGAAATTTGGCATGGTGTTTTGTCCAAAGCAACGTTACAATTTTCGGGAATTTTTTTTAGAACTGATCACTGTAGCATATAGCTGTCATACAAACTGATCAGTAAAAACCAAGTTTTTGTGTGAAATTTTTTTTATTTGTGAAGGGAATTTAACGTTTTGTCTTATTTTTTGCCATGGCTGACTGTATGACTTCGTAAAGCTCACCTATGTATACTGTTTAATTATTTATTTTAGTTAAAGACGATTCGAAATATTGATTGAAGATAAGTGATTATCCATTTAATTATTCCATTAATATCCAGTAATTCAATTAAGCATTCTTCGGGTACTTCATTATCATGAAGGCATTATAGTAGGGTATTTTTCTCTTATATCCTCACATACTGTCGATACATTGTCTAAGTCAGGCTAGTCGTTGTGTTATAACAAATTGAAATATATATGTTAGTATCTGAGTTAAGTGTTAACTTGTTGTTGCTTTAACATGTAATTTTTTGACAAGCGAGCAGAGAAATGGCGAATCGAAAACAGCTGATATTTTCAATAGGCGTACTACGTTTAATTCCTAATTAAAACCCTTTAGCAGAAGTACCGACTAAGAAATTGAAGCACTTTTGCCACATATACCTATATCATATATGACAACTTTAAAGTGGCACTGGAACTGGACTGGACTCATATATTGTACTAAATATATAATATTTCTTCGTTAGAAGATCATTAAGGATAAAATAAATATATATTTCAATTTATTAAACCAATTACTCACAACAACACGCTACATTGTTGGTATACATTTTTATTCACACAGGTGTTGAAGTATATTTGCAAATATGTAAACATGCATACGAAAGTAAATTTTTTCATTTATTACCCGCATGTAATCACCAAACCATAACAATATATAATGAGAAAGTAAACCAATTAATTTGATTGAATTATTGCTAACAAATAATTAAAAAGCCCTGCACTGTATTCCTTCGTGCTATTCAATTGAGTAGTTCCACTTACAATGCCTGGTCGTTTTATGTGTAAACTTGTGCACTTTTTGTAACGCGCTGTATACTAAAACCATAGTTACACATACATATACGAGGTATGTTAAAAAAAGAGAGAGATCATCGTTACAATAATTGTTTTTGGGCAGAAATTCATGAAG